TTTTGAGTAAAAAGCTTTGTTGATGAAACACCTGTAGATTACACAAACTAAAACATTTTTTATTGAACTAAATTATTTATGCGCATTTCTTTCGTTATGGCTACTTGACACATTATTGGGTGCTGCTAGCAAACCAGCCAATCCCAGCAGCTGAATTCAAGAACAAGGCGCTGACTGGCAGCGTCCCAAAGAGCAGAGATAAGAACGACTGTAGAAGTTGCTTCTCTGATAGAAATAAACTCATTTCCGCTAGAGGTGAACCGATTTAACATTTTCAGACAAAAAGAAATTGATATTGGCCAAAATTGAAATGGGCAGGTCAGGCTTTTTAAATGACGGACAGTAACTGGTTAGTTCAGAAAACTACAATCAGTGCACTCCTAGTTTCCACTGCGCATGTTAAGGTATATTTGATGTTTCAACAACCAAACTAACCAGTTGTAGTCTTCATCATGCTGAACTACACTTGATTTACTCTTCTCAATCTCTGTGAGAAGAAAGCATCTCTCATGTGGACGGTCAAATTACCACTATCAAACTAAAAACTTTTGCAGCCCTTAGCTGCTGCATTTCTATCTATGCTTTGGCTACGTCAAACAAAAAGGGTTGCTCTTGGCGTGGACTTTCATGTGACGCACCAAGTGGTCCCTTCTACTCAGGGATTTCCCGCAGACGCCGCAGGGAAACCCCTTTATGCCCGAGTGGATCGACTCGTGTCGCTTCAGTCTCGATAACTGACTGAATTGTTTCCCGCAGGTCTTGCAGACGAGCGGATTGTGACTCTTGGCGTGGTGCAAGAAGCAACGGTATTGTGTGAAGCATTTCCCGCATGCTTGGCAGGAATAGAGCTTCTTGGCCGCCCGGATGGCCCTCTGCTTGATGGCGGGCTGCGACGGGACTCGCGGTTCGGCCAAGTGGGATTTCATGTGGCCCAGCAGGTAGTCCCTTCGACTGAAGGACTTCCCGCACGCGCCGCAGGCAAACGGCTTCTCGCCCGTGTGGACTCTCGCGTGTCGCTTCAGGATGTAGGGGCTGCTGAAGCGTTTCCCACACGTGTTGCAGAGGAGTCGCTCAACCTCAGCGCCAGTCGAGAAGCTGGCGTGTGGGCCGAGCGGTTTTCCACCAGAGCCGTTGGTTTTCTTGTGGTGGATCAGCTGGCAGTTCTGGCTGAACGACTTCTTACCAACGCCGCACCTCAACTTGTTTTTGCGCATGTGGGTGCTCACGTGTCGAATCAGTCTGGATCTAAACTGAAAGGTTTTCTCACAAAAGCCACACCCAAAATACTGTGTGCCCGCATCAACCGTAGAGCCTGACACCAGAGGGAGGTCTGTGTTTATATCATCCGCATGTGCACCTTCGCTTCCTTCGTAAGATTCCTCCTTAGGTACAAACAGGGAGAGAGGCTGGATCCGGTCACCTACGCTGGTTCGAAGAAAATTGATTTGTGGAGGTTCTGGTTCGTCCTTGACTCCAGGGCAGATGCTGTCCTGGTCACAGAGCAGCTGGTCAGTGGGAGCGTCCTCCTCCATGTAGGGCCATTGCCGTGGGAGGTCTGCAGCAACAAAAAGACAAAGTAACTGAAGGGCAGAGGAGAATGTGGTAGAAAGGAGTAGTTTCCATTTAAGAATCTTGTCAAATGAAGGACAA